ATAAAGTCACATCTCAACTTAAATTAAAAATTTGAATCATCGAATTAAACGGGCCCTAAATAAATTACATGTTTATGCATTTTGTTAAATTATAATATTTTTTGATTTAGATTCAATATAATCCAACACGTTGAAGCTTATTTTACTAATAAAACGTATTTTTTTACTTATTTAATATAGATATTTCCACAATATTCCATCTATCTCCACACCTCTTATTCTTATTATTGTTTTTTTCTTTTCTGTTCTCTCCTGATCTCTCATGGCTTCCACTACCAAAGAAATAGCTACAGAGATCCTCCCTTTCATGCGGGTCTACAAAGACGGCTCCGTCGACCGCCTCCTCGAATCGCCGCTCGTCCCTACGTCGCCCGGCGACCCCGAAACCGGGGTCTCCTCCAAGGACATCTCAATCTCCCTCAACCCCGCCATTTCCGCCCGCTTGTTCCTACCACCATTAAACCACAACAACCAAAAGCTCCCCGTCCTCGTCTACTTCCATGGTGGCGGCTTCTGCTTCGAGTCCGCCTTTTCCTCCGATCACCACCGCTTCCTCAACAGCCTCGTCTCCCAAGCCAAAGTCCTGGCCGTTTCCGTAGAGTACAGGCTCGCTCCTGAGTATCCTCTTCCCGTCGCCTATGAAGATTGCTGGTACGCCCTCCAATGGGTTGCTTCCCATAATTCAAATCACGATGATCGTGATGATCATGATCAAGACATTACCAAAGAGACGTGGCTGACAAACCATGGAGACTTTGAAAAAGTCTTTCTAGGAGGCGACAGTGCAGGAGCTAATATTGTGCATAACATGGCCATGAGATTCAGCAAGGAGGATTTGAATAATCGGATCAAGAGTATTTCTGGAGCTTTTCTTACTCATCCATACTTTTGGGGTTCCGAACCTTTGGTTGGATCATCAGAGCCTTGTGCTGAGGAGCTTGCCAAGTCCATCCCACGTTTGGTTTGGGACTTCGTTTACCCTTGCGCCCCCGGCGGAGTAGACAACCCGATGATCAACCCGGTGGGGCCCGACGCGCCGAGCCTGGCGGGGCTCGGGTGCGAGCGGCTGCTGGTTAGTGTGGCGGAGAAGGATGTGCTGAGGGAGAGGGGGAGGAGATATTGTGAGGCTGTTAGGGAATGTGGGTGGAAAGGGGAAGTGGAGCTGGTTGATGTGGAAGGAGAAAATCATGCTTTTCAGATTTTGTTTGGTGAGAGTGAGAACGCCAAGAGGTTGATCACGCGCTTGGCTGAATTTCTCATGATCAACTGAAGTTTTAACTGGATTATCATTCCACTTTGTAGTTTTTTAATTATGTTGCCAATCGATCTGATGTCTAAATACAAATGCCAATATTTTGTGTTTCCCCAATAAAAGGAAAAATGTTTGGGGCGCTGGCAACGTTAAACACCACAATGCTGTAGGACGCACTGTTTAGTAATAGACAGGGACGGTGGACGGTGCTCAAAGTTAACTTCAGTGCCAAATAGCTTTAGACTCTTTTCACTTGATGGGTCCATTTCAATATTTGGTTTTTTTGTTTTTTGTTTTTTTTTGTAATAAAAGTCCTCGTGGTCCATCTGCTTGTGCCCGTGATTAGATGTGTATATCAAAAGCTTTTAGCCTCGTTTTAATTGTGTATATCTTACGAAGTTAGTGATTATGGTTTTTATTATTATGTATATGTATTTTGGCGCATGCCGTGTATCTAGATTTGTTTGAAATCTTTCTATTGGAAAATTATTCCAAAGGCGTGCAATATTAAAATCAGCATAAAGGAGTGGTTGTGGCACTTGAGTATCCCACGTTAACCCAACACGATAGGATATGCAAATTATCTTGAATAGTTGACGACTTCTTTTTCTCACTTTTTTTTTTTTTTTTTTTTTTTGGGTGGGGGGGCAAGTGACAATTTATTAATATGCAACTCATCCTCTAAAATCACTTTGAAAACTCACTTCTTACTTTTTAGTCAGAATTATATCATCGTTATAAGCACTAAAGTGGCAGTGTGAAATATACTTGTACTTAATTAGTCATGATTTTCTTTTTGTTGAATAATTAGTCATAATCAAGCTGATACCAAATGGGTGATCACCACCGCGTCATAAAACATTGAGAACCGAAAGTGGGTCAACAACACGATAAAGATACGGCATTGCGAGCCATGTTGTTCTTTGATTGTTCCGACAAAAGCAGTTTCAAAAGTCCCCATCCTTTTGTTCTTTATTATTCAACCCATTATCCACACATGCACATTCCAATATATAAATAATTAAATACATACTTCTCCGCCACCAAATCTTGACTTGTTTTTCACACCACTTCATCTAAACTATAAATCAGCAACAAACGACATTAATGGCTTCCACAAAAACAAAACATCAATAATTAATGGCCTCACAAACTTTTCCAGAGGTTTTCATTTCCCCATCCGTTGCTTCCACCGACAAAGAAGTGGCCAAAGAGCTCCTCCCTCTCCTCCGCGTCTACAAGGACGGCTCCGTCGAGCGCCTCCTCGGCTCGCCGGTCGTCCCTCCGTCGTCTCCCGACCCCGAAACCGGCGTTTCAACCAAAGACATCACTATTTCCACTCACCCCAATATCTCCGCTCGCATATACCTCCCAAATCTCCCACAAACCAATGCCAATGACAAAAAACTCCCCATCTTGGTCTACTTCCACGGCGGCGGCTTCTGCCTCGAATCCGCCTTCTCCTTCCTCGACCACCGGTACCTCAACCGCCTCGCCTCCGAAACCGGAGTTCTTGCCGTCTCCGTCGAGTATCGTCTCGCCCCGGAGAGTCCTCTCCCCGCCGCCTACGACGACAGTTGGGCCGCTCTCCAATGGGTTGCTAACCACTCCGGTCTTGAACAAGTGCTAGTCCAGCAGGAGCCGTGGCTAGTAAGCCACGGCGACTTCGGTAGACTCTACATTGGCGGCGACAGCGCGGGGGCCAACATCGTCCACAACGTCGCTCTCCGCGCAGGGACCGAGTCCGAGAGCCTGCCTTGCAATGTCAAGATCCATGGCGCGTTCCTCGCTCATCCTTACTTTTGGGGCTCCAAGCCGATCGGCTCAGAGCCAAAAGGTACAAAGCGTTTTAACTTATAATAATATCTGCTCTTATACTATGTTAATTTATTAGAATTACGGCTTACAATAGTTTTTTTTTTATTTTTGACAGAAGGGTTTGAGAATGCACTAGAACGTTTGGTTTGGGACTTTGCGTACCCATTATACTATGTTAATTTATTAGAATTACGGCTTACAATAGTTTTTTTTTTTATTTTTGACAGAAGGGTTTGAGAATGCACTAGAACGTTTGGTTTGGGACTTTGCGTACCCGTCAGCATCGTGGGGGATCGATAACCTGATGATCAACCCGGTGAGCGGGGGCGGTGCGCCGAGCTTAGCGGGGCTCGGGTGCTCGAGGATGCTGGTGTGTGTGGCGGGGAAGGATCGGCTGAGGGAGAGAGGGGTTTGGTATTATGAGGCGGTGAAGGAGAGTGGGTGGAAAGGGGAAGTTGAGCTGTTTGAGGTGGAGGAAGAGGATCATGCTTTCCATATATACAACATTGATTCTCACAATGCTAATGTCATGATCAAACGCTTGGCTTCTTTTCTTGTTTGATAATTAATGAAATGGTGTTTTTCTTGCTCTTTTTAAGTGTTCTAGTTATGTATCTATGGTGCTAGTACCATTCATGATGTGTTATTTGTGTATTGGAAGTAATGTTTTATGGATTTCCGGTTGCATTGAGAAATTGCACGATGGCCATGACAAATTGGCTGAAATAATAAACATAAAGGATTACTAAATTGTAATTTAAAGAGTAGTATAGATCCTTTTACGAATTTATAAGTAATTATTCATTCCTCTAATGAGTAACGAAGTGTAATTATTTGGTGAATCGATGCCTTTTTACCCAAAAGAAAAAATGTGTATAATTAATTTGGAATACTAAGATTACTGTGTATAATTAAAAAACGTGTAATTAATGTGGTTGAATTTTTGAATAAATATGATATTTATTAGTAAATACTGTATTTATTGTTAAATGCAGTATTTACTTGTAATTATAGTGTCAAACGGTCGCTGAATTTTCAGATATATATGATTTTTACTAGTAAATACGATATTTACCGGTAAATACGGTGTTAAACAGTCGTGGAGTCGGTGGACGGATTATTGGACAAATTTGATTTTTTTTCTAGTAAATACGGTATTTACCGGTAAATATAATGTTAAACAGTCGTTGGATTTGGTGGCCGGATTTTTAAATAAATATGATTTTTATAAGTAAATATGATATTTACTAGTAAATACAGTGTTAAACACTCACTGGAGCCGGTGGCCGGACTTTTGGATAAATATGATTTTTACTAGTTAATACGGTATTTACCTTTATATATAGTATTAAACTGATATCAACCACAGTCCAGTAGAATTTAAGGTTTACAATCCATAGTTTATACATGCCTTAAATGAGTACGATAATGGAAGAAACACTTCACCGCTTCCCTTCTTCTTGAACGGTATTCCTCACCTATTCTGCGTTACTTCTAGCGTCGCCTGGGTGAGGTTAAATTACATTTGAAACATATGAAAAGTGAGCGAAAGGCCTCGTAGGATTGAATTTATAAAAAAAACTGAATATGTAATGAAAATACAGGCCCGAAAGAATTATTCAGAACTAAACAACCTTTTTACTGAAAGGTAAATAAACTTAAATTCCAGATTACAGGCAACTAGTAAGTAATTTAATGATAAATTACTTACGACCAATGCAAGGACTTATCACCACCGTAGTGGCCCGTCTGGGTTTCGGGTTCTGCCCCTAAGGATACGATCTCCATATCCTATCTAGGGTATCAGCGAGCTTACTAGTTCGCAAGATATCTTATCTTAAGAAAGTATTCATTAAAACTTTAGTTCATTATGATATTAATAACAATAATCAAGCTATTGTCTTAAAATACATGATTAACTAATAAAATTAGTATTAAGCACACTAATAAATCACAATTAGCATAATTAAACCTGTTTAATTCTTGAGGTCGTTACAGCTCTACCCCCTTTAAGGAATTTTGTCATCGAAATTAAAGCTTGCCTCAAAATGAGAGCATATGCGGATATCGTTCTTGCATTATTGCTTCTAGTTCCCACGTTGCTTCCTCAACGCTATGGTGTTGCCACAACACCTTCACTAGCGGAATCTCGCGACGGCATAAACTTTTCATTTTCTAATCGAGAATCTAAATTGGTGCTTGCTCGTAAGTCGTGTTATACTAAATCGGCACGTCATACTATTGTACAATAGTTTCCGGATCGGGTTGACACTTGTGAAGCATGGAAACGTGAAATACATCGTGCACATAAGAGAACTCTGAAGACAAAACGAGACGGTAAGTAATGACACCGACTCATTGCACGATCTGAAATGGGCCTATATACCTTGGCACAAGTTTCCCTTTCACACTGAAACTAGTAACTCCTTTACGTGGAGAAACCCTTAACAAAACAAAATCACCTTCTTGGAACTTTAAGGGTTTACGTCTCCTGTCAGCATAACTTTTCTGACGACTTTGAGCTGTCAGTAATCGTTCCTGAATAATGACTATTTTCTCGTTGTTTTCTTGGATAAGATCTGGTACAGTAGTATGCCGATCCTCTGGTTCGAGCTAACAAACTAGCGATCTGCAAGGTCTGCCATATAATGCTTCGAACGGTGCCATTCCAATGCTATCTTGAAGGCGAATTCGGCTAGATGAAGATACTTCTTCCAGTTTCCACCGAAATCTAGAATGCAAGCACGAAGTATATTCTCCAGAATCAGAATAACTCTTTTAGACTGTCCGCCGTTCTGAGGATGAAATGCGGTGCTGAAATTCAATTTAGTCCTCATGGCTTCTTGAAAACTTCTCCAGTACTTTGCATTGAAATGAGTGTCACAATCCGACGTGATAGATAATGAAAATCCGTGAAGTCTGACAATGTGCTCCAAATATAACTCTGCTAAGATCTTCTAGGAATACGTTGCACAAAACGATATGAAGTGTGTGGACTTCGTCAGCCTATCCACTACAACCCAGATAGCATCATGCCGTTGTTTAGTCCTCGGCAATCCCATCAGAAAATCCATCGTGATGTGTTCTCCAGCAAGTTTTTGATGTTCAGCTTTGACTCGGAGGCAAGTCATACATTCTGACACGTATTGGCGAACATCCTTCTTCATACCTCTCAACCAATACTGCCTTTTGAGATCCTGATACATCTTGGTACTCCTGGGATGAATAACAAACCTTAATTTGTGAGCCTTGTGAAGGACTGTCTTCTTTATCTCATCCACCTTAGGAACAACAATGCAGGTTTTGAAGTAGAGAGTTCTATCTTCTCGGATATTCCACACATCAAGTTGTTCTCCATTCTGAACTCCGGTCCAAACTCTTTGAAGATGCTGATCCTGACATTGGTTATACTTGATTTGTTGCATAAGAGCTGGCGCAGAAACCAAGTTGTACATCATAGCTTGATTATAATCCTCATAGTATTGACAATCATAATCACCTACAGTTTCAGTCCTTTTCCAATCCTCTAAAGCGAAAGATGCCAGGATTCCTGAAGTCTTTCTGCTGAGAGCATCTACTACCACATTGGCTTTTCCAGGATGATACTGCAAGGTGAAATCGTAGTTCCCATGTACTTCATCCATCTTCTATGTCTCAGATTTAAGTCTTTCTAAGTGAACAGATACTTCAGACTCTTATGATCGGAGAAGATCTGGAATTTTGCTCCATAGAGATAACATCTCCATATTTTGAAAGCAAAAATTACTGCAGCTAACTCCAAATCATGTGTTAGATAATTATGCTCGTGAGGTTTCAATTGACGAGATGCATAGGCTACAACACGCCCTCCTTGCATCAGAACACACCCAAGTCCTCATCTTGATGTGTCAGAATATACCTCGTACGGTTCCTCAGTATTTGATATAGTCAAAACTTGTGCGCTCGTCAATTCGGTCTTCAGTTCTTGGAAAGCGTGTTCGTAGGTAGTATCACATTCAAATCTGACTTCCTTCTTGGTCAATCGGGTCATTCGAGCAGCAATGCTCGAGAAGTTCTTTACAAATCACCGGCAATACCCCGCAAGTCCTAGGAAACTTTGAATTTCAGCTACATTCTTCGGCGTTCCTATTGCAGCACCATTTCAATCTTCGAAGGATCCATCGAGATTCCTTGTCAAGATATGACATGTCTGACTTTTCTTTCTTCACGTAAAGTTGGTGCTCATGAAGAGTCTGGAGAACGATCCTTAAATGTTGCTTGTGGTCTTCCTGGGTCTTTGAGTAAATCAGAATGTCATCGATGAAAACTATCATGAATTGATCCAGATAAGGTCGGAAGACTCGGTTCATCAGGTTCATAAAGGCTGCCGGAGCATTCGTCAACCCAAAAGGCATAACTAAAAACTCAAAATGCCGATACCGGGTTCTGAAAGCCGTTTTCAAAATATCTTCCTCCCTGACCTTGAGTTGATGATATCCAGATCTCAGATTGGAGTAATACTGCAATCCACCCAATTGATAAAAAAACTCATCGATCCTTGGCAATGGGTACTTGTTCTTCATAGTTACTCTGTTCTGCTGTCGATAGTCGATAGAAAAAAACAAGTAAATGCAACAAAAGCCAAAATGTA